GTAAACATACCTGGCAATAAAACTCATTCTGATTCTGATTCTGATTAAAATCATTTAATGCACAGCTAGCCGTTCATTATCCCTTACGTGTTTGCTTTATTAGCAGCAACTTTTTACGGCAATATTTCAATGATGCCCTGGTCATTCTTGGTGTACCCAAAATGCTCCCACTCTCGACTCCAGCCATTTCTTTGGTGGAAATAAAGCTTTGCAGTTTGGTCCCTCAGGCACAGGGATGGATCTACCGGGGTGGCAACTGCCACCCTAAGAAAAAGCGGTGCCACCCCACCTGCCACCCCAAAATTATCACAGAATAAAATATAAATGTGCTACTTTTCAGTCGCGGCGATAACCGAGTACGCAAAATAATGCCAAAAAAAACACGTCTTTCAATAAACTGTGCACGATGGTTGCACGCAGCGTGCCAGTGTAGTTGGCTTAATAACAAATTACTCTTATGAACCGGTCCTTTTTGAGTCAAAACCACAAAGCGAGGCCCAGTTCACTACTAACGAATTGTTTTACATTTGTAATTTTGCTGGAAATGCAGAAATAAGCCGTAATTTTGTTTTATTTGTAACTCTTTGGTAGATACATTTATAATTTCTATTACATTACTGCTACTACTGTTATTACTAATAAAACAGATCTCCGGGGGACCCCAAAAGTGCGTGGGCCCTTAGAATCGTCCTAACTTTCCCCCCCTTAGCGGCGCCCCTGGCAGTATCTGCCGATACCTTGAACTTCGAATCAGTTCACCGATACCTACATTTTTAAAGCCTTCTTTTTATCATGTAGAATTATTTATAGTGATAGACATTTACTCAGGGCCTTAATTTTATTTTTGAAAATGGGGGGAATTCCCCTCTTAGGTGACTCTTGTTGGGGGGGATTTTTAATTTGAGGGGTGGAGGCGGAATTTTTTAGATATATATCAAATATATATATTTATCTGACCTAAATGTTTGACCATGCGGTGCATTTTTGTTTTTACAATTGTGCAATTGTTGCACAATAGCTTACACACAGCACAAGCCTGATTTTGTGAGCTGTATGTGAGGCGGCCTTTTACACCAGGTTCACACATACTCTGTTTGCAGTGCGTATGCAGTCCATGTCTGGTATGTAAGCAGTGCAGAAGCAGCACGGACTGTGCTTTCATAAAAGGAATCTGCTTCTGATCCATGGCTGTTTACCACAAACACAACATTTATCCGTTATTTTGATTTCAAATCCAAACATTGTTACTGAATATGCTTTTTCAGCATTGTGATTCTTTTTTTTTACACAGTACAGTAATACAATCTATTAAGTGCACGAGTGCCATAGCCGTGGGAACATATTTTATCTGGGGGGTGCTGGGGCGGGGCTTGATGTTGCAGGGCAGGGCCATGGTGGGGGATTTTTGACAAAATCCTAATATTAAAGTTAAATATTTAAGAGTTATATGCGAACAAATATATATTTGTGCTTTTTTGATTTTAGTTCAATAATTTTTTCTTTAATATTTCTATTATTTAAGGCGATTTTACTAAATATTAACATCGCTGATATGCAAAATTTTTGGTCAGTGCACTTTGGCGAATTCTCTCAATAGAAACAACAAAGAGTAGATGTACAGTGGGGAAAAAAAGTATTTAGTCAGCCACCAATTGTGCAAGTTCTCCCACTTAAAAAGATGAGAGAGGCCTGTAATTTTCATCATAGGTATACCTCATCTATGAGAGACAAAATGAGAAAAAAAATCCAGAAAACTCATTTTGTCTCTCATAGTTGAGGTATACCTATGATGAAAATTACAGGAATCTCTCATCTTTTTAAATGGGAGAACTTGCACAATTGGTGGCTGACTAAATACTTTTTTCCCCCACTGTACATGCAATGTAAATAAGAGATTAATTCATCATACACTGCAGACAACATCACTGATTATAGCTTATAGCTTTTTTAGAGTGCTTAAACTCACGCTAGACTGAATTCAGTGATATTCTTTGATAATGTAAATGGTCTTTGCTCGCTGTATAATTTGTTTGTTGTTTGAATAATCGTGGACATGCGGCGTTATAATTCAACTTAAAATGTATTTTTATTAAACGTGATCCTTCGCATGAGACGTTAAACCGAGGTCCTGTCTCTCTGTGGTCATTAAAATTCCCAGGATGTCTTTCGAAAAGAGTAGAGGTGTGACCTCGGCATCCTGGCCAAATTTGCCCATTGGCCTCTGATCATCATGGCCTCCTAACAATCCCCATATCTACTGATTGGCTTCATCACTCTGTCTCCTCTCCACCAATAAGCTGGTGTGTGGTGGGCGTTCTGGCGCACTATGGCTGCCATCGCATCATCCAGGTGGATGCTGCACACTGGTGGTGGATGAGGAGATACCCCCTGACAATGTAAAGCGCTTTAAGTGCCTAGAAAAGCGCTATATAAATATAATCAATTATTATTATTATTATTATTATTAAATACAAATTCAGTCTTATTAAAATACTTTTTCATAATATGGCAGCCTGCTTGCCTTACTTATGATGTGCGTAGTTAACAGATTACATTAGGCTACAGTGGTTAGAGCGCAATTAAAGAGCTATGATTATGTAAAGCGAGAAAGCTTCAGAAAATGGCTCATATAAAGGACAAGGACATGAATGTTTTTTACAAGTCGGAATGTAAAATTACGGTAATATCGCGTGAACATTTCACATGAAATTCTGTCAGTGTGAGGGGGAGATGTAGGGACGCGAGGCGCCCAAGAAAATTACAACTGCTATAGGCTATATATTTGTGGTCAGTTTAATAAATAATTAATCACAGAATGATTGGGGATGATCGAGGGGCACAAGGAAAATCTCAGACCCGACCCTGCGGCGGGGGGTGCTGCAGCACCCTCAGCACCCCTAGTTCCCACGGCCATGACAAGTGCATCTATTATTGCTTATCTAGAAGTGCTCTTTTCCTTTAAACCTAGTCAAAAAGTCATATGTGTTGACTGTGAAACAGTAGATTTTCATTATGTGCATTTATGGTGTAATTACTAAATTTTTGTGTCAATACAAGTTCATATTTACCGCAAACAATGCGCTGTCACTTTAATTCAGCGCGTGCAGCGCAGCAATATACTGCGGAAATGATCTCTGCACTGCTCCCGACACACCGCTACTGGAACGCACTGCCGCACCGCAACCGTTTGCAGTGTGAACGCTTCATAAACCAGTGCTGCATCTCAATGTAGGCACTTATACTATGCCCCCTTAAAGTATGTACTCTTTTGGTGAAAAAAAAGTACACACTTTTGAGTGTGTAGTAGAAGAGTAGGCAAGCTTTGGGACATATTATCACGTCACACAATTGCGTCTTTAAAGGACTGCTCTGTCGCACATGTAACACCGCACCCTGTCACTGTAAACAGGCCTGTCAATCATCTTGTCACAGTTAACATCCTCCACATTTCATTTCATTTAACTTCCTACTGTACTGGAGAGAAAAAAAGTAGCTTGTTGATCTGCCAGTCGCGGGTCTTTCATGCAGAGAACTCTGCTCATATTTTCTGCATAATGATGCATTTAAAAGTTAACGACCAAATGGATGTTTATAAAAGTTCACATTGCTGTTGCAGATGAAATATAACACGGATAACATTAAATACATATTTTTTTACCAGGTTAAATGTTGATTATTAGTAACTCAACCCCCTTTTTGTAAACCTCTCTACCTAACCATCGATCGGGCGCATCCGCCACATTTGTAGTTTTGTAGTTCTGGACTGAATCCTTCGCCAAAGCGCAATGGATTGTGGGCAATTTTAGCCATTAGAGTGTGCACGGATCCACACTTCAAAAATCGACCTGAAATAGACCATCCAGGGACTTTTGGCATACTCTTTTCAACATACTATGCTTTGGGACACACTTATTTTAATCTCACATACTATTTAGGATGGATAGTATGAACATTGAGACGCAGGGCAGGTTTATATCTGAGAGCGCGCATCCGGTTTTGTGCGAGAGCAAAGGAAATCCAGGTGTGAGCGGGGAGATTCACGCTCGCGCATTACCGGTATATTAATCTACCTTCACGCTACAACAATGCACTCTGGACATTTGTCATTGAAATAACGCCATATTTAATCCGTTAACATGAGTGCGGAAAAGAATACGCACTGCAAACGGAGTATGTGTGAACCTGGCGTTATGTGTGTGCGCTGCGAGTGTGCATGCCATGAGCGCACAGTCTCGAGTAGAGCGCGTGAGTGCTGAATGGTTAAACACAAGAATTAAAAAGAAATACAATTTATAAACTTTAATGACGATGTGACACTGCCCCGGTTGTGCTAAATTGATAATTCCTGTGTCAACTGTGCAGCTCGCTTATAGTGCAGACACGATGTGATTTGAAGCAATTTGCGCATTTTGAGAGAGAAAGAGAGCGCATGCGGTGATTAGATTCACTCACGCTGTTTGTGAAATTACGTCTCACATAAGGTTTTCAAATTACTTTATAAATTATTTAATGAAGAAATATGAATTGTACCTCACCTTCAGCATTATAATTATTGTACCCATGCCGGACAGAGACTGAGACTGTGCCGCTGCATGTCATGCCAAATCTCTCACAGCAGGCACTTCATCAGCTTGAGATAGTTTTTTTGAGATCGGCCTCTTTAGAGACCGCCGATCAATCGGAGCACCCCTACTTTGTGTCTATGTGAAAGAGGAATTAATTCGTGTGAAACGTGGTTTGCGAGTGGTAGAGGAATCAATTCACTGTTAGCATCAAAAGATGCTAACAGTTTAGGGGGAAGGAAGCGAAGATGAAACCATAGCAGATAGCCGGGATTGAGTGTAGGTTATGTTGAAAGATGACATGTGGAGGGGTATGTTTTGTGTCAGGAACCATGTTGAGGTTAAGAGTGAGGAGGAAGTGATCCGAGGTGTGCAGCGGAGTAACCAGTACATGATCAGTGGAGCAGTGTCGTGTGTAAATAAGGTCCAGTAGAGGTTGCCTGATTTGTGAGTAGCAGTAGTTGACAGTCGGTTGAGATCAAAAGAGGCAAGCAGAGTGTGGAAGTCTGCAGCCTGAGGTTTATCTAGGTGGATGTTGAAGTCTCCAAGAATAACTAGGGGAGTACCATCCTCAGGAAAGGTTGAGAGCAGCACATCTAATTCATCCAAGAAGTTACCTAGTGGTCCTGGGGGTCGATAAACAACTACAAAATGGATTTTAAGAGGGTAGGTACTAGTAACTGAATAAGATTCAAAGGAGCTGTTGATACCCAAAGATGGTAAAGGATTAAATTTCCAATCATTAGAGATAAGCAGACCAGTACCTCCACCTCTTCCAGTCAGACAGGGGGAGTGGGAAAAAGAGAAATTATTGGAGAGTGCTGCAGGAGTAGCAGTGTCCTCTGGTTTGATACACGTATCTGTCAGGGACATGAGATTTAGCTTTGAATGACTAATAATAGAAGTAATGAAATCGGCTTTGTTTACAGCAGACTGGCAATTCCAGAGACCAATAGAAAAAGAAAGTAGTGTATTAGCAGACATAGGCAAAGTGTGCAGGTTGTTAGGATTGCGCTGCCTATAGTGTGCCAAATGTGGGTTGCGAGTGGTAGTGATAGTAGGGATCTGGAAACACATAGTAAGAATTGGTTATAAAAACTGAAACAGAAGTAAAACAAGTAGTAGGAAAAAGGATGAATCAAAAGCTATACTTATATCCCTATCCCATCCCTGCCTGGCGGAGTCGCACGGTAGAGTCGATGGTCTTAACACTCTTCGGTCTTCACACGAGGAGGGCTTAACAAGAGGGCTGCCGCGACCGCTGCTGTGGTATACTAACCTTTTTTATACCCGTCGGACAAAACGGAAACACATTACTGTTTATCACAATAAAGGTCTAAGATCTTAATGTCTTCCTAGACTTTAAGTTCTCTTCACTAAGGGCTTTTGTGAAAGGAATTCAGTTGTTCGCTTTCATTTGGAACGTCCCTACAAATGTTGACCCCTTCACAAAGTGCCCATCAAGGGTGCAATACTTGCTGTTTGAAATTCATCCTTAGTTGCCTTAGTGTGAAATTTATTTATTTGAAATTTATTTATTTTGGTTCGATTTTCTCAAGTCTGCATTCGAGTTTCAGTGGTCAGTTTGGTGATCTTGTACTGAATGTGACCCAGGTCTCTTTCTCCTTTGCAGTGCTCTGTGGGACATTGAGACTGGTCAGCAGACCACCACATTTACAGGGCACAGTGGAGATGTGATGAGCCTGTCCCTCAGCCCAGACTCTAGGACCTTTGTGTCAGGTGCCTGTGATGCATCCTCCAAAGTGTGGGACATCCGAGACGGAATGTGCAGACAGTCTTTCACCGGACATGTTTCTGATATAAATGCTGTCAGTGTGAGTGTCGAAGAGAAATGTCATCAGCAGTGTCTGATACTGGTTCACGTCTTATTGAGCCCATGCAATTCTTTCATAATACTTATTGTTTATTGTTAGTTTGTAAAGAACACACTCATATCCATTTTCAATTGTGCTCATTTCTTCAGTTCTTCCCAAATGGTAATGCGTTCACTACGGGCTCGGACGACGCCACTTGTCGTTTGTTTGACCTTCGCGCAGACCAGGAACTGATGATGTATTCGCATGACAACATTATCTGTGGCATCACCTCTGTGGCCTTCTCTAAGAGTGGCCGCCTGCTGCTCGCTGGCTACGATGACTTCAACTGCAATGTATGGGATACTCTAAAGGGAGAGCGTGCAGGTCAGTACTTCACGCAACCCTGTTGACCACACAGAAATAAAACTCAAGCAAGCAAACAGCCTAAATCGAGCAACAGGACAACGCAGCGCAGACAATAAATCACAATAAATCTCATTACTTCAGACTAGTCTTTATATAGTGGAATGACAGCAATGTACAATTTAGTAAATCTTAACTTGTGTAACTACAGAAGACCATTTTTTCCCCAGGATGAACCCTGAACATATATGTGATTCAAATAGACAGCCACTCATAGTCATGTGCTGTAAGATTTGTATGACGCTTATCTCTGTTTGTTGCTCTTGTGTTTGAAGGTGTTCTAGCTGGGCATGACAACAGGGTCAGCTGTTTGGGGGTAACCAGTGACGGCATGGCTGTGGCCACCGGTTCTTGGGACAGCTTCCTTAGGATATGGAACTGACCTTACTGGGTTGGACTTCGGGAGCCACTCTTTCTGATCACACAATCACTGTAGTGCACCGCTGCCACACAGGACTCTTCCCTCTCCATCTCCTCCTTATAGATGACCTGGTTTTCTTCATCTTCTCTCTTTCTTAGACCGCATTATCCCACCATCCTGCAGTCAGTCAAAGAGGTGAGGACCAACAGTGAAGAGCCTTCACTGGCTCTCTGTCTTTTGGGCTTCACGTCTGACTTGAGGTGGGGGACAGACTGTGTTGTGTACAGTATATATCTGCCATTCTTTGTGCTTGTATGTATAACATACGCACTTCTGACAGTGTTTGGATGTTCTGGTTTGTGGATACTCGTGATGGGTGTCTTGACTCTCCCTGTTTTCTTTTCCTGCTTAATTTTTTTTCTTTGTCCGCAGTCACAGTAATATTTGCCACACAGTGGCCAATGTAATTAATTAAGGGATTAGGCTGCCACTGTATTGTAGGCCATCAGTGTTTGACCATTGACCTTAATTTAGTTTGCATCAGGTAGCATCAGTCTTGAGTCTATTGTGTCATAAATGGTTCAGGCTCAGCTTGGTAGTGTGTAGTTGTGAGAGAAACACTGACGTCACTGAGCTTGTGTTTGCTATCCTCTAAGCTTGACAGTAATGTTTGGCACGATTCAGTGTATTAAACTGTATTGCAGACTGCACAGAAGGATTTACCATCAGCCTGTCTGTCCATCTGTCTTTACTATCACTAGATATACTATCTGAGATTTGCTGCTTTCCATATTGAATCGGCTGGATATATGTGATACATTTATGGTTAAAGGGATAGTTCACACACAAGTGTAATTTGTTGTCATTTGCTCACCCTCATGTTGTTCCAAACCTGTATGACATTTTTGTTTCTGTTGAAGTCAAAAGAACAATTCTAAAGACGATTGTGCCGTTTTCTAATAAATCACAATAAATGAGTACTGATGCTTTTATACTTAATGGATACAAAAATCTATATGAAAGTGTTCCAGGTGACTCTACATTCTAAGTAGTCTGAGGACGCACAAAAGACTGAGTGAGAAACAGACTGAAATTTAAGTTGGTAATCTAAATTTAACCACTGCATCCAGATTGAGTGGGCTGAATGAACTCAAGAACTGAATCAGAACAAACCAATTCATTAACATGTCAAGGAGACCTATTGCATATGTCACTGTTATTGTGTTTTTCACAAAAAGCTGTTGTATGTCTTAAGATATGAAGTGGTACAAATATCATATGGGCCACTTTCATGGTGCTTTTGCATGTGTGGACGCACAAAAAATGGGTTTGGAATAACTTGAGGGTAAGTGATGACATTTTCAGCAGAACTATTTCTGGAAAGTATAAGGTTTAGTCTTTTGTTTTAATCCAAACACCAAGCATGGCCTTGATGGTTTGTGAGACTTCACCATTGGTGAGCAGGCTGAAAGTGCAACCTGATATCTAACAAAGGGCCTTGGTCACTGCCACTGTGACATTTTCTGCCTTTCTACACACATTAAGAACACCTGCCCTTCTGAGATGAAGACCTAGGACTGTATGCTTTTGCACTAGAAAATAGTCATGTGAGACTGCACACACTGGTGTTTCTGCACGTATTTGAATTAATGTGCTTCAGCACTATGACAAAAAACCTGGAAAAACTGTCATGGACCACAAGCTACACTGTGCATATTTAGTCACAAATGTGAGTATTGAAGGTATAAACCCTCTGTCTGTTTCTGTAAAATAACAACAAAAAACGCAAGCCTTAATAATTTCATATTTCACTTGAACCATCAATAATCACCTTAAATTTGTGCCAAGCAGTATGAATAAACATATAGACTGGCTTTGTGGGCATATAAAAATCTGTACAAATGTTTTGTTTTTTGATTGTGGCAGTTTAGATTTTGGCATTTTTTCCCAGATATGTTATTGACGTATTAAGTATACTTGCAAAATTAATCATCCATTTACAGTACCAGATTGCATTCAGTATTCTGTATTGTTTTGTGTTTCTATTTCAGGTGTTTAATTTATGACATTACTGTTCATCAGGTAAATTTGTTTCAATACTTCATTTAAATCATGCCGTTACTTGTGATATGAAAGGACATCCAACAAATGTGGAAGATCCTCCTTTTTTGAGTGTTTACAACATTTAGGTGGTTAAGGTAATTAAGGTATATAAAGAACTCTGCATAGTGCGATGAAGGAATTTGTTTTTTTATTTAGTAAAACCAACAATTCATATGACATCCAAGTCTCCTCAAAATACAGCCTTATAGTCCTTTAATTGAATGTTCCAGACAGTCTCAATACAAGTTCAATACCAGTCTAAATCAATAATGTAAGGTGCACTTGTAAGTAAATTAACTCGTGCCTTTTTTCTGGGAAAATGAGGCACTTCCAATTACTGTGTACAGCATATTTGGCGGTTATATTTGTATTATTTGGGTTTCGTAATTGTCATTACCAACATAATTTTTGTGTGATTTTTTTTTCTTTTCCTGTGAATGTCCTCTTGATTGAGTTTACTGACTTAACATAGTCATTACAGGAGTTGATATTGCTATGACTTTATGAGTTTCATTTTAACACAATGTGTAACTGTAGTTGCTATACTTTTAAATGGTATTTTAATGTTTATTGCATTGCTCTGTTTAATTTTGTTGTAAGTGTCATCATTTATCCATGATTGTTGCTTTTTGTATGTGTGTGTGAAGACTAATAAGATTGACCTTATCTCGTATTGAATCCAGAATATTAAATCCAGGAAAATTCATTACAATTGAAGTTCAACCAGAACTTGCCGGTTCGTCATTAAAGTACATGAACATGACTGTAAGGAGCAAGCAGCATAATATCCTATGGATATTTCAGCTAGCGTACTGAGCCTTATCCTATGGATAAGATCAAACACTAGCAATACCACAATCCACTGACTCTGAAACAGCTTGCTACCTTAACAGTTTCCAAAACCTTAACGGTATGACAACACATGCATGGCTTTTAAGTTACTTGAGAACTGAATCAGTGTGCACGTAGTGACCAATTGTGAAAATGATTGTAAATCTTAAGTATTAGAACTATCATATTAAATGATGCAGCTTCTGCTATTATCCAGATCTTTGCAATCACTTTTTGTTTCATTTACAGTAGGTACTCGTCACATAAATTATGGCATGAGCTGGCCTTCTGGTTATAAGAAGTGAGAGCTTAATTTTTCTGAATCTGTAGTAAACAATGGTTGTTTTTACTGAGGTGGTAATGCTGACAAGTAGTGCTGAGCGGTTTGACCATAAATCTGTATCTCTCTCTCTCTCTCTTTTTTTTGGATTGTGGTGGTTTCACGTTTTATCATGGTTTTTCCCTGACTGGGCCATTATGTGACTCAGAATGCACATTTGCAGACTGTTGCAGAACCACTGAATTTACTACATAAAACAAATGCATGAAACAAAAACAGCAAATGAATGAGAATGCAAATTCATACTCTGCCAGCAGGTGTAAACCAGAAGGTGTTTATTGCTGTAAACAAAGAAGTGCTGCACTTATAAACACTACTTTAATATGCATTACATGGAGGCAAGATGAAAAGAAAATACCATCTAACTTTTCTGAAGACAGTCAGTTCCCCTCAGAAATACTTTCATATAGGCTAATAAACCACCACTCCCAGTTCAGTATTTAGGATTGTCATTCAATAATTCGCAGAAGAGAAAACAGACAGCACTGGAAGCAGCTAATGCTCATCAGATTGCGAAAAAACGTTGGAAAATGAATAGAAATGATTATTCTGTCGGAGGAAATAAGAAGTAAACGTGTAAATATATTAATATTTTTCCAAGTATGCGCACTTTTGGACTATAGCTCTAATGGATGCTGTTCAGTGAAGCTACAGTATGTGAACACAAAAATAGCTGATGTGACTGAATATGAATGCGTGTTATTCTACTAAAAATATCATACATTAACAATTGATTGTTTTGCACTCCTGACATAAATAAAAAAATTACTTTTACATCAATAGAGTTATATATATATATATATATATATACAGGGTTGGGGAGTAACGGAATACATGTAATGGCGTTACGTAATCAGGATACAAAAATCTAGTAACTGTAATCCGTTACAGTTACATCAAAAAACGAAGTATTCAGATTACAGTTACATTTTGTAAAAAGTGGGAATACTATCAGGATTTCATTTGTTTCATTTAAAATGAAATAAATTAGTATTTTGACATAACGCTATATATTTATATGTCGCACTTAGCCTATGTCTACTAATTCACTGCTTTCTTTTTCTTTTGGTCTCTGGAATTGCCAGTCTGCTGTAAACAAAGCAGATTTTATTACTTCTATTATTAGTCATTCAAGACTAAATCTCATGGCCCTGACAGAGACCTGGATCAAACCAGAGGACATTGCTACTCCTGCAGCACTCCTGAGGATGGTACTCCCCTAGTTATGCTTGGAGACTTCAACATCCATCTAGATAAACCTCAGGCTGCAGACTTTCACACTCTGCTTGCCTCTTTTGATCTCAAGCGAGTGTTAACTATGGCTACTCACAAATCAGGCAACCTACTGGACCTTATTTACACTAGACACTGCTCCAATGTACTGGTTACTCCGCTGCACACCTCGGATCACTTCCTCCTCACTCTTAACCTCAACATGGTTCCTGACACAACACATACCCCTCCACATTTCACTTTTCGACGTAACCTTCGCTCACTCTCACCCTCCCGGCTATCTTCTATGGTTTCATCTTTGCTTCCTCCCCCTGAACAGTTAACAGTTATCATCTCTTGATGTTAACAGTGCTACTGATACTTTCTGCTCCACTCTTACGTCTTGTTTAGACAGTGTCTTCCCCTTGTCTTCCAGGCCAGCTCGTACCACCTCTTCTGCCCCTTGGTTATCTGATGTTCTCCGTGAGAATCGTTCTAAGCTCAGAGCTGCAGAAAGAGTATGGCACAAATCACAAAATCCTACTGACCTTAAGGTATATCGATCACTCCTCTCTTCATTCTCTGCTAATGTCTCCGCTGCTAAAAGGACATAATATCACAAAAAAATTACCAATTTGCCTAACTATCGCATGCTCTTTAAAACATTTTCCTCCCTCCTTTGTCCTCCTCCTCCCCCTCCTTCATCAACTCTAACAGCTGACGACTTTGCCACATGCTTCATTAATAAAATTACAAACCTCAGAGCACAATTTGCCACACCACGAACTGTCAAACACATCTTACCAGCAAACATCACTCGTTTTCATCCTTCTCTCCACTCGCTGAGGCAGAAGTCTCTAAACTCATCCTTTCCAATCATCCTA